CGGACGCTTAACCGACTGCGCCACCCAGGCGCCCCTGCACTTCCTCTTTAAAAAAAAAATGTTTTATTTATTTTTGAGAAAGAGTGTGAGTGGGGGAGGGCCAGAGATGGGGTGGGGAGGGACAGAAGATCCAAAGAGGGCTCTGTGCTGACAGCAGTGAGCTGATGCAGGGCTTGAACTCACAAACCGTGAGCCAATGACCTGAACCGAAGTCAGACGCTCAACAGACTGGGGCACCCAGGTGTCCCCACCACTGTACTTCCTCTAATGTGCTAGGCCTATGCTAAGCCCATTGCTGACCTTCCTAACAGCCTTGCAATAGAGGCATCATCACCTCCCTTCTGCAGAGGAGCGGCTCAAGTATCAGAGAGGTTAGGTAAATTGTCCTAAGTCACACAGTAAGTCATAGAGCTCTTTTTAGCCTGGACTCTTTGGCTCCAGAGCTCACTAGGCCAGCCTGTCATTTGTAGGTATGAGTATGGGGATTTGGAGGTCTCTGAATCTCCCCAAGAGAGCAGAAAGGAGGAAGGATTCTGGGTTGTGGAGGGCGCCAGCCAGGGATGAGGCGGGGCCAGACTCTGGCCACAAACTCACAGGGAAGTAGAGAAGCAGGGATCCAAAAAGGATGGTCTCCAGCAGGACAACTCCAGAGGCTCGGATCCTCTGTGAACCCAGGAAAGAGAGAGGCGTATAAGCAGGGCAGTGGGAGGACAGAGGCTGGACGATGGTGGGAGGAGAGTCTCAGGCCTTTTTTAGGGGTCACTTTTACTGGCCTTGAACCAAGGCCTTGCCTTGGAACATCAGCTCCGCCCTCTCCGCCCACAGCCACGGCCCCACTCCCACCACAGGCTCTTAGCTCCACCACGCTAAGCAGGGTCCAGGTGGCACAAAGCTCGAGTCCCCCAGCCCCATGCCTCTCCCGATCCCAGCCTGGGCCTCGCTGGAGACCTGGGCTCAACTCACAAGTTGTTGGAGCTAGAAGGGATCTCACGCGTTCCCTCGAAACTTTGGGTCAGACCGATTCTTTCTCTAGGTAACCCCTTCTCTGCCTGGTAACCATTTAGCTGGCCCTCAGGCCTGGCTCAAGCGTCAGGTTCTCCAGAAAGTCTCTCCCGGACCATCTTCGGCAGGACAACTGGGGCCTTTCTCTGAGCTGCCACAGCTATACCAATACCCACTTCCCCCCTCGCCTCTGTTTTGCTGCGCTTTTTCCTTACTTGCCTGCTTCCTCCTTTCAACTGGGAGCCCCACGAGGGTCCAGATCACTTCCCCCGAGTACCTACACTGTGTTTTGAGCCAAGTCCAATGCCTCCATTTTCCAGGTGAGGAAATAAATCTAAGGCAGCGGGGCCACTTTGCCTAATGTCACACAGTGGGTGAGTTGAAGAATTCAGACCAGAACCCATTTCTTCTGAGCTCTAGTCTTAGGTAGTCTCTGGTCTCCAGTTGATGCTGGGGACTCGAGGTGGGAAGGACGCGGGTAGGGTAGAGACGTGGGGCCTTGCTTGCCTTGCTTCGGCGGCAGCGGTAGGAGGCCAGCATGCTCAGGAAGACGGCCAGCATGCAGCAGGCCTGGCAGGCCAGGACCGCGGCCCGCAGCCCCAGAGCTTCCTCCACCAGGCACGGCGTGGCATCCACGCAGCTGGTGCAGCCCTCGGCACATGGCCGGCACCGCAGCAGCCTCCCAGAGCTGCCCTGAGGGGACCCGAATTGCCCAGTAGGCTGGGCGGCACTCTCTTCTAACCCTATAAAAAACAAGATGGGTGCAAGGAGAGGGGCATGGCCCGGGGCATCCCAGCCTGCTCTCGCACGGGTCACCGTAGCCCTCTCCCTCTCCGTCCGATGGTCTGTCACCGCCCGGGCAAGGGCTGGGAAGGGGAGGAATGAGGAAGTGGATATTCCCAGGGGAGGACAGGGTACTAGGAAGAGGTGATGCCAGGCTAGGGTTCGCTGCAAGGTCAACTTGCATCAGACTGGCATGTTGTGGGGTCATTTTCAGAAGGCACAGACACCCCCAAGTTGGACCCTGCCTGCCTCTCCTGCTTCTCTTGACATTCCGCCCTTGCCCCACAAGTCTCCTCCCAGCCTGCCTTTTTCCCTCAGGTGCCCCGCCCGCCCGGCCCAGCCTGACCCTCACCACAATAACCCTCACCACAATTAACATACCCCCGGAGTGGCTTGCCCCGTAGAAGCCGGGTCGGCAGCGGCACAGGTAGTGGCCAAGGACAAAGCCCTGACTCTCCAGGGGGACACACTGCGGGGATGACAAACATGATAATTTTGATAAATTTATATGGGGATTTCCCTTTTGGGAAGAGGTGGAGGGTACATGTACCTTCCAATCCATGGCCCCTGGTCCATACGAGGGGCCCCTCCCTACTGGAGATCCTCCCTAGTCCTTAGGAAGCCTTCCCTCCCTGGAAGCCCTACTCTAGCCCCGCGGTTACCTCTTTTCAACATACAGTTTGGGGACAGATCACCCTTTTATTCTGACTTGCAATGACAGGAGCCATACAGGTCTCATTTCCTAGTGCCCAGCTGTCGGAGCGAGGGACTGGGCGAGGTGGAATTTGGGAGAACTCGGGAGTCCGATCGCACCTATGTGCCTACATCCTGCTTCAAAGGGTCCCCATCAGCCTCCCTCTTTGGCTCACAGGTGAGTTGAAAAGGCCCCCACAGAGGAGCAGTTTCCCCTACCAGGTGCCATCTGGCTTTGGCACAGGACTGCTTTCCCCAGCCCTAATGCCAGGCTAATGCCAGGCCAGTGGGATGCCAAGGCCAGCTCTTTACTCCACCTTCACCCATTGATGTTTGCCCAGCAGGGGACCGAGCAGACCTCAGAGCCAGGCAGGGAAGAGGAGCACGTGGATGAGGTCAGCTCTGCTGCAGGGAGTGGTTAGGGACAGACAGCAGTGGGATAAAGGAAGGGATTGAAGGATCTTCACCCTGGGAGATTCCATATCTGGCACCTTTCACCTAGAAAAGTTAGAGGGTGATGCTTCTGAAATTGGGGCCCAGCTTCCCCTCTTGCCCGGGGCCCTAGAACACGCTCTGTTTTTGCCATAGTCTGCAGAGTCAGACAAATGCGTATGGAGACGAGCTGTGGCTGGGTTTAATAAGGCACCGAATAATGGCGGCCCTTCTCCATCCCTGGACTTACAGTTTCAAACACACGTGCCCTGAAGAGCAACGGATGCCCAAACCCGCCCCACCTCCCAGCAGCCTGCAGGGCTCGCCTTGGCTCCGCTTCAGCCTAGGAACAACATGCAGTCGAGTGCAACCGTGGAGCAGATTAGTTCACTGGCCTCCCAGTTTCCCAGCCCTTGGCTTTCAGGATTACCAGCCATTGCTTTCCATCATCCAGATTCTCCTGCATCCATGGCTTTGATTCTGCCGGCATCTGGCTTTGGTTCCATCACCTTTACTGGTCCCAGAGCTCTTCAAGCTCCTTCTTTGGTTAGATTTCTCCCCTACTCCAACCAACCATTACACTTGGATCAACAAACACCAACAGAGCATCCTTTGTGGGTCAGAAGGAACCCAGAGCTCTGTCGACAAGGAGAATGTAGTCCAGGAGAAGGAAAGGGGATGACTAATAGGGGCTTAGGTTGCGGTCCTGGGGATGGATGCTGGAGCACCCAGTACCAAAAGGGAGAGGCACACTGAGATTTCAAAGGAATGAGGGTGGCTGTCTCCAGTGGGAGGTGGGGAGTAAGCTGTAAGTGTCCTCACTGTTTTTTTAATGTACGCTCTACGCCCACTGTGAGGTTTGAACTCAAGACCCCGAGATCAAGAGCTGCATGCTCTACCGACTGAGCCAGCCAGGAGCCCAGTCACTTTCTTTTTCAATGTTCACATATATATATATAATATATATATAATATATATATATTATATATATATATATT